ATCAGAAAAAAATGAAGCGGGCGAATCCGCCAACCAAGAAATTAAATTGGTGTGGCCTAAGGCGACAGCAAGTACATTTTATGGGTGACATCCTCCGCAGACTCTAGATCTAATGCAATAGGGCGACAAAAAAACAAGGCGGGCCAAACAAAAAACAACATTTCTATAATTTCAACTTTTGAAATCATAGTCCTTGTTAAACATAATTTTTTCTATTCAGCGGCAAAACCTCATATAAAGGAATACAACACTGCAACAAAGAAAAGTAAAGGACAAAACAATAAATCAGAGCGTTGTCTTGTCTCCTCTTTTCTTATTTATCCGTCATCGAAGTTCCCGCATGGCAAAATCATGCATATTTACCCATTTTTTACCCACTGTCAAGGGGCTACACAATTTCCTTTTTTTTCCAAAATCAGGCGAAAATCAATGCGCGCGCTGATGTCATCCATAAGACTTTAATGCATATATTGCCCCCTTATAACCCGTAGGGGCCTACCAATTTTATGCATTCTATACTCGTCAGAGCAGTGTATTTTTCCGGGCAAAGAAATAAGTCTGAGATTGAAGACTTTATAATTGTCTTCTGATTTTGGCGAGGTTGGTAGAAAATTGCAAGACGACGTTAGAATTTTTGACTCAAGAAGATGGTGCGATCGTATATGACTACTCACAATCCTTTCTAAATCAATGAGTCAAACCAAAATTTCAGCTTCTTATTGAAATATTGTCTTCACTGAGTTATTAAATCAGAAGGTAGCAAAGGAAAGTATGATTATTCCATCATAATATTTATGTTTACCGAAGGAAAACACATTTTTTTGCTCAGTTTTTTCTTCTTCAAAAAAAATAAGGTCAATGACCTGAACCAGACGTCTGTCACCATGGTAACTGGTGTTGGGTTACATCATGTTGCAGTTTTATAGCAGGAGTGATTTAGACTCCTGTCACCATATACTAGTATATGAATGTGTTGCAGTAAGAATTAACAGAGCAGACCTTATGTGATCGAAGGTAAACATTATGCATTTGGTACTTACGTTTACAAATACATATTGGTTTTGCTCAGTTTCTTCCTCTTCTTCTCCAAACAAATAAGGTCAATGACCTGAACCAGACGTCTGTTACCGTGGTAACTAGTATTGGGTTACATCATGTTGCAATTTCATAGCAGGAGGGATTTAGACTCCTGTCTGACCATACATATGTGTTTAAGTTACAATTAACAGAGCAGACCATATGCGAAGATAAACATTATGCATTTGCTAGTTATTGGTTTTGCTCAGTTTCTTCCTCTTCTTCTTAAAAAAATAAGGTCAATGACCTGAACCAGACGTCTGTTACCATGGTAACTAGTTTCAGTCTTATCTGTCATAAAACATTAACCACAGACGTATGTGTAGGATTGGGAAGTCGCGTCACCGGAAAGAGCCCGGCTGCACGCACGGTGTGTATGACATAAAGATAAGGTCAATGACCTGAACCAGACGTCTGTCACCATGGTAACTGGTGTTGTGTTACATCATGTTGCAGTTTTATAGCAGGAGGGATTTATAGACTCCTGTCGCCATATATGTATGAAATTCAATGTGTTTAAATAGGAATTAACAGAGCAGGCCATATGCCTTATGCATTTTATTTGCAAATGTTACCTTTCTAGTTTCAGTCTTATCTGTCATGAAACATTAACCACAGACGTATGCGTAGGATTGGGAAGTCGCGTCAGCGGAAAGAGCCCGGCTGCACGCACGGTGTGTGGATGACGTGAAGACATCACGGGACGGGCCTTGAGATGATTAAAGTCTGTTCCGCTCCGGCTGCCGAATTCACGCAGAATACACGATGACATGTCCGGCACACTGGCGCGTACTGCACTCACGTTGTCCCTACGCACACACGAGTCAGTACTGCGTTAGGCCACAGCACGTAAATTTCATGGATGACATCCTACGCACACTCCAGATTTAATGCAATAGGGCGAAAAAAAAAAGACAGGCCAAAAACACAACATTTTCAACATTTTCAAATTTGACATCATGAACCTTGTTAAACAAGAACTGATACCTATATTGTGTTAGATTTACTGCCAACTATATAATTATTATACATTACAACATACATTTCTCACTGAAACAACTTTTAAAGATAAAACTTTTCAATCATTGTACAAATCAGTGGGAACATCACATGTATAAAGGGTATGGAATACATCACTGCATTCAAGTAAAAGACAAAATAATAAATCAGAGCCTTGTCTTGTCTCCTCCTATCTGCAATCCACGTTCCGGCATGGCAACATCTTTGCCCATTTTCGGCATGTTAACCACTGTCAAAGGGCAGCAAAAGTTCTTAATAGCAAAGTTCTTTCTATCACAACCATTTATTTTTCAAGCCGACGTTTCGATGACTTTCTGTCATCTTCATCAGGGCAATTCTGACTGGTTTACCATGCACCAAGTAACATCTAGTGTCAGTGCATAGTAAACCAGTCAGCATAGTAAACCATTGCCCTGATGAAGATGACAGAAAGTCATCGAAACGTCGGCTTGAAAAATAAATGGTTGTGATAAAAAGAACTTTGCTATTCTGTCGTTTACCAACCTGATGAAATTATTTACGGAACAAAATTTCTTGTTTTTTTTTCAAATCAGGCGAAAATCAATGCGCGCGCTGATGCCATCCATAAAAATTACTTGCTGTGGCCTTATGGATCAGCCATCAACAGTCGGTCCTGTCCAGCCCAGGCCCGGGGCCTCACGAGTTCAAACGTCACGGAACGTGCTGTTCGCACGCCAGTTCTCTTTCATCTCTTTTGAGGAGTTTCCCGAAGCTGCTGCCGCTGTAAAGTACCGCCGGGTAATAACAGCTACAGCACACGACAAGAATACAACTTCAAAAGAACCTTCTTCAAGACACGTTGTAGAATTGACGTGGTGAGTTTCCGAGACTCTGTTCATTGATGAGCGTGTTACACAGTTATGTATCAATGACAACTGTGTAAGGAATTTTCCTGGTAGTAAATTAGAATTATCCACAAGTACACCATTTACTATGATCATAAACCTGTTAATACTGTGGGAGCCCTCACATGGAAAAAGAAGTCGTGGTCGTCCAGCAAGAAACTACATAAATCAATTAATGGACGACACCCAGCTCGACAAGAAAAACCTGATGGTAGTAATGAAGGATAGGAAGAGATGGAGAGCTATCATTGGCACCGAGGGAAGCTCGACCCAGTGAGTGAGTGAGTGACACCGTTGGCGTTGCTACTGAAAGTCACCCCACAAGAAGAAGAAAAAAAATCAGGTACAGCTGGTTGAGAATCTATGCTACTACATGTAGAAGATTACTAAGTATCAAACCATTCTCTGTAGTCAGGGGTAACCTCTGATCAAAAGGACTTCTAGTGTTCTGTACAATTTTTCAAGTGAGAGAACTGTTTTATTGTGAAGACTATCATTAATTTTGATGGGCAAATTGCCAACTATAACATTAGATACATTACCCAATAGAAAATTGAAAGACCTGAAATGAAAAACTACGTGTTCGATTTTTAAAAATATGCTTCATAGATATAGAAGAGAGCTACCTTCGCATGTGTGGTTTGCTCTGTTGATTCTTACTCAAACACATCCATATACATGGTAGACAGGAGTTTAAATCCTTCCTGCTATAAAATTGCAACATGATGTAACCCAACACTAGTTACCATGGTGACAAGCGTTTGGTTCAGGTCATTGACCTTTTTTGTTTGGAGAAGAAGAAGAGGAGACAGAGCAAAAACAACATGATTTCCTTCGGTAAACGCTCAGTCTTTCTCGGTGGCTCACTTGATAAGTTACTTATTGAAAAAAAGTTGTGCACACTGCATCCCAGGTATATATAACTGTGCTGTGTATCTGTATCGGTATAGCCAGTATAACCACCCTTCAGCGTAACACACCAGCTTTGCAGGCACGCGGCGCGGCGGCAGCTAGCTACATCACATCGAACGACTTGTTACACTCGGTCTTTGCACATTTGATTGCAGGAGTTGTTTAAAGCTTTCTAGTGATGATGCCCCAACTGTGCTTGGTGGCAACGAGTTCCAGTCTACGATATTTCTGGGGAAATACGAGTTTTTGAATACCTCAATTCTTGGTTGATAAGTCTGATATTTGAAGGCATGACTGTTTCTTGTTCTTTTCTGGGCTGGTATCAGATACTTAGTGGTTGGTACGTCCACCAGTTTATTAGTCATTTTGTACATCATGCTCATTCTACGTCTGTCTTCCAGTGACCCCCACTGTAGGTTTCTTTTCATTTCTGTTACACTAGCACCCCTTTGGTAGTTGTTCGTGCAGAATCTTGCAGCTTGATTCTGTACTCTTTCCAGTTTATCTTTGTCTTTCGTTGTATATGGATCCCATACTGTAGGATAGGGTATGTAGTGTGAATAATTTAGCGCTGTCCTTGGGATGAAGTTGTTTACATTATTGCATGTACAGACGTGCGTGACTGGAGAATTGTCCATGGCCCTGCAGGCTGGGCGTTACTCTAATATCGCAAACACACCGCACGGTCTAATGAACAACATGGCCGCCCATCGCCCCAGGCGTTTCCCCGTTTAGGACACCTACAAGTGTCGCTAAACCGGACTGGGCGTGAAAGTATGCTTTTTTAAGGAGTACACCAAAATGACGACAAGAGGGGACCAGGTAAATGGACAAACTATGAAAAGAGCATTTACCCGTACGATGTGTATGCTTTAGTCTATAGATAACTAGCATAGTGCTAATACGTATCTATGTATATATCTAGAAAGTGTCAAGGTGAATTGAAACAATGATTTAGAGGGGTCAATAAAATTTGGAGCCCATCCCACCCCCTCTTTTTAAGTGGTGCGGTCCCGAGACACATACCTGTCAGGTTGGGTTGTCTTCCGGGTTTTTCACACAGACAATAGTACTGTAGGTTGTAGTAGCCGCCGCCACCGTGTGCTTCTGTGTCCTTCTTCGGAAGGTAGCGCCATGTACCCCCGCCTGTTCCCCAGCACCACGGACCCGGTGTACACCTACACCTGCCTGGCCGCCTTCCTGGGAAGTCTGGGCATCTATGAAGTCTTGAGTCCGTGGTTCTCACGGCGTGTGACGTCATGCTACGAACGTCTACCCAGGGCGCAGCAGGTCGAATGGAATAACAAGTTGGTGACTCTCACTTCTGTATCTGTATCTGTATCAATATAGCCGGTATAACAGCCCTTCGGCGTAACACACCAGCTTCTGTATCTGTATAACCGATATAATCGCCCTTCGGCGTAACACACCAGCTTCGCAGGCACGCGGCGCGGCGGCAGATAGCTATATCACACCGAACGACTTGTTACACTCAATCTTTGCACATTTAATTGCAGGAGTTGTGTAAAACTTTCTAGTGATGATGCCCCTACTGTGCTTGGTGGCAACCAGTTCCAGTCTACGATAGTTCTGGAGAAATACGAGTTTTTTTAATACCTCAATTCTTGGTTGATAACTCTGATATTTGAAGGCATGACTGTTTCTTGTTCTTTTCTGGGCTGGTATCAGATACTTTATTAGTTATTTTGTACATCATGCACAGTCTGGACACTTCTGTACTTCGTAAATTTCACATTCCATTCCTATATATTAAAGGCATTCAGTGCAGTTTTTAGGGCTTGGAAACCCGGTTTTTCAAAACCAATATATAATCATTTTATAGACTGATACCTCTGTAAATAGCCTCACAATTCAGCCTCCACTACGGCTGCCAGGGAGCATATATATCTTTTGCTAATATCTAATAGACCAGTCTACTACTACTACATATGTTTTACACATTGCTTGTTGCAGTTGACCTGGTATATTTGCCCGACCAATTTGTGTAGTCGCTTGTATACGTTGTAATGGGAGCAAAATAAAGCCTAAAGGTTTACCGCAAGACAAAATGAATAACATATTACGAGTTACTCTGCTCCAAAAAAAATACCGTATTATCAAAAGGGAATGTTATCGTTATGTACATGTTGTAGATTTTCACTAAGCATTTCTGTGGTTCCTTCATCTGTTGTAAGGGGTTTTTTTATTTTAACATGCAAGCAATAAAACAATACATAGTGGTGACGCACTCAAGCGATATAGCTTATATTCACGTCACCACTAGATATGGAATCAAAATTTTAACACAAGACAAAACAATGTAACATGGGTAACATCCAGGTAACAAAAAACAGAGTTAATTTATTATGATATTATAAATGAATACAATACTATAAGTTATAAGTCAGTTATAAAATCGTTTGGTTTCAGAAAGGTATAAATAGTAAGTGTTTGAGAGTTAACTTCAGATGAAAGTAAAGGTGATCCTTTAAGTAACTAGTAACCATTTTCCGTCAGAATTTTGGATATATTTGGTCCATGAGGGTCAATATACACTGGGATAGTCTGGTTTCAACTCAGTATGTAGATAAATGACCAGAACATTTACAGTTGTGATCGTTACAATAAAATGTTAAAATTTTCTTGTTCAAGATTAAAAGTTCTAAGAACAATTAGGCTCAAAGGGAATTTTCGAAACAATACTACATGTGCAACAGTGAATGTCTGACACCAATCAAATCATATGGTTGATAGAGGAACAGACTGGTGGATGCTACCGTTTTTTACTTAGGCCACACCAATTTAATTTCTTGGTTAACGGATTTTTGTAGAAAAAATGGAGCGGGCGGGCGAAAAAAAATAAAAATAAATACAGGCCTAGGCATCCTATTTTGGCCCAAAATGGTACGATAGGAGACACGAAGTCAACACACCAGGCTGGTTCAAAATTTAAACAATGATTTTTGAACTTTTAATGATACCATGGCCACTGCTAGGAAGAAAATGACTGTTTTCAACTGTTCATGGCAAAATATGAGCATTTTGCAGTTGATTCTGAATTGTTTTTTTTTTTGTTTTTGTTTTTTTTGCAAATCAGAAAAAAATGAAGCGGGCGAATCCGTTAACCAAGAAATTAAATTGGTGTGGCCTTATGGCGGAGAGTAAGTTCAAACAGGAATGGATTCCCTGCTAGGTCCTTTTTTTGCCATGGGGAGTTTTGCCGTTCCTGGAAGAGGCCAATGATGTTATCGATCACAGCAATGTCCTATATATCACCTACAAGACTAGACACGGCGTCCCTAATGGCAAAGAATTAGAGACACAAAAGTCAATGCATTTATGGCTTTCTATGGCGTACGTTATGTAGCATTGAGGTTTATTGATATGATATGATGATATGAATCTTTATTGCATGTTCTTGCCCAGATGGGCTAAATGCACAAGAGAGTATGCAGTATGAAAAACATGAGTATTTCATACTGGTACGCTATATTCTAATACAAAGTGCTACGAATCTATACAATACAACAATACTATATACTACCTATCATCTACTGTTAGTTGCCCTTTCTTCTCTCTTTTTGAAACATTTGGAAACATAATTACATAGTTTGTCTACTGTACATTCGTTCTTGCATGATATCAAGTGTTTAAACATGTCCTGCTTTGACGTTTTTTATTGAGGAAAAACTCTGATTTATCTGCTCACCCAAGGGTGGCAGCTATTCTTCCAGGAGACAGTACATCTCTCTCTCTCTCTTGGCTTGGCTTTACAATACATAACAATACATCAACATATAATTACCTCCATGAAATGTGTCATGGAGGTTATATTTTCAGTTGCGTTTATCTGTCCGTCCGTCTGTCCGTCCGTCTGTCCGTCTGTTGGTCAACAAGATAACTCAAGAACGCCTGGATGGATTGGTTTCATACTTGGTGTGTTGGTAGGGTGTGACGAAAACTGGAAATGATTAGATTTTGGGCCCCCTAGTGGCTTCCCTTGGTACTGCAGCGCAACTTCCGGTTTTGATATCTCGCGATCTGGACATGCTAGGGTCATGATATTTGGATGGAAGGTAGCTCTTGTCCTCGGGAAGAAGTCACATGAGTTTGGTCTCCCTAGCGGCTTGTTCTGGAACTGCAGGGTGGTTTCTTTGAAAATCTTCGAGAGAGGATGACTGAACAACCGTTTGATGGATCATCATGATTTTTGGTATGTAGGTAGCTTAAGTGATGCTTGACATAATCAAAATATCATTATGGAAATCAGGATCTAATTTGCATAATTAATGAGGAAATTCTATAAATCAGCTGTATTTCATATTAGGGCTATAAAACTCTATAGACATATGTTAGTGAGAACGACAAGATCATTGGCAGATATCGATTATGTAAAGGAAGACCTAATTTGCATAATAAATGGCAAATTGGTACAATTTTATGGTGGTAACTGCTGGGAATTTAATACTTGCCATAATTGGAAGTTCAGTGAAGGTGAACATCACTAAACATAATTTATGTCAATCAGGACCTCATTTGCATAATTTATGAGGAAACGCTAGAATAGCCTTATTTCTTAAGATAACCCTGTCATTTGGTGGAGAGTATGATCAATTGATACAATATATGCAAATGGCCTCATATAATTTGAATATATGCGGTGAAAAATGTAAGCCAATTACAGGTGGTCATCACCATGCGTAAGATTTATGAAAGCAATACACATGTCATGGAGGTATGAGATCATCGAACTCTAGTTACATATACATCTACATTACATTGGAATTTAAAAGAAAACAAATGTGTAACATCATATGTGCTTTACTTATTCATGTCCCTCATGTGCTTTAGTAGGTCTTCATCGTTTGAACTAATATCCATAATAGGACTAGTACGGGTCATAATATCATAATATGGGTGATCAAAAATCATGAAATACAGAAGTCTTACATTCCACCGTTTTTTTTGTAAGATGATATTTTGGAGAAACAAATGTTGGAAGAAAACATTCAGCGATTCCTATCACATGTATTGGTGGTTTGTTTCCTTCATAAAGGCTGTACATGTGTGGGCGTTTACTGTTTACAATGCATTAACGTGCTATTCTTGTAAGTACTGGATACATGAAAAGGAAGCTGTCTGAACGTCGTGCCTTCAAGCACAGGTAACTAATGCCTCCCACACATACCCGAGGGGAGGGGGGTGTTTGATGTTGGTTTGACGGTATGGGTTATTAAAAAAGAACTGAGGCCGCGCACGAAACGCACTAGGCGCTCTGTGCTTGCCTGTGTACGTTTTTGGCGACGTCTCAGGGAGAAGCCTGATGGTACAGTATTGTGTGCAGTTTGCAAGAATTCTAGGAAAGGTACAGGCATTTTGTTCACAGGAATGGAATGTCCACAGGCATTTCTCTGGCCCACATCTATGCCCACATTCCTGGAAACCTGAAGACCTAGATGCCCCGGATAGCCCTACTTTCTATGACCCCGGGGCTCGTTCACTATACACTCAGGGGAGGAGTGCACTGTATCTGTCTAGACTTTACAGGTACAAGGTCTTCCACAAAATCATGAAATGATGGCAGTGCCATGCAAACAATAACCCTAACAGCAACAACCGTCGCCATGGCAATGTATGCTTTCATTGCTAGTCTTGTTATACCTACATGAACATGTAAGTATTGGTTTCGGCCTGTCTGTGTACGTGTGTGTGTATGTGTATGTTTCAGCATACGTGCGGTCAGCATAACTTCAGAACGCCTTTACAGATTGTGATGATATTTGATACGCTGGTACATAGTTCTTAGGACGACAAAAGTCAAGGTCAAATATGGGCCTTCTGGTGGCTGACCTTGGTACTGCAGCAGAACTACCTTTTTTTGTATCTTTTATCCTGAGCATGCTACGGTCTTGACTTTTTGGTGACAGATAGCTTTTCCTGTCAGGAACAAGTGTGGGTTTGGTCCCCCTAGTTTTCTCTGTGACACGTCTAAGGGATGTCTCTGACTGAAGTTGAGAATTTATGGCAGTGGCAATAGCTACTTTCTTGTGTAGAAACAGTCAAGCAGAGCTAGAAGCGCTTGGTATCTCCCATGTAAGTCTGAATGAGTTGCATCGCTTTGAGAAAAGTTACTTGTTCCCCTGAGATAAGAGTGATCTATAAGAGTCTACGATATCTTCACGAGTGCTTCCTCTTCTACTTAATTTCTGTTTAAGATGACAATGTTAAGCTCTTCCGTGGCCTAAGGAGAATACAGGGAAAGGTTTGTATCGCTGCAATACCCGATAATGGGATCAGTGTCATATTC